GAATGTTTCTGTGTTAATAACTGAATGTTTCTGTGTTAATAACTGAATGTTTCTGTGGTAATAACTGAATGTTTCTGTGGTAATAACTGAATGTTTCTGTGGTAATAACCGAATGTTTCTGTGATAATAACCGAATGTTTCTGTGTTAATAACTGAATGTTTCTGTGTTAATAACTGAACGTTTCTGTGTTAATAACTGAACGTTTCTGTGTTAATAACTGAATGTTTCTGTGTTAATAACTGAACGTTTCTGTGGTAATAACCGAACGTTTCTGTGGTAATAACTGAACGTTTCTGTGTTAATAACTGAACGTTTCTGTGTTAATAACCGAACGTTTCTGTGGTAATAACCGAATGTTTCTGTGGTAATAACTGAACGTTTCTGTGGTAATAACCGAATGTTTCTGTGGTAATAACTGAACGTTTCTGTGGTAATAACCGAACGTTTCTGTGGTAATAAACGAACGTTTCTGTGGTAATAACCGAACGTTTCTGTGGTAATAACTGAACGTTTCTGTAGTAATAACCATATGTTTCTGTGGTAATAACCGAATGTTTCTGTGGTAATAACTGAATGTTTCTGTGGTAATAACCGAATGTTTCTGTGGTAATAACTGAATGTTTCTGTGGTAATAACCGAATGTTTCTGTGGTAATAACTGAATGTTTCTGTGATAATTACTTCGAGTCAGAGATTCTACAGGTCTACATATTTTCCTCCTGAAGGGAAACAGTTGACACACAGTCAGATGGTTGAAAGCTTGTCTTCTGCACACACCCTTTGAGACACATTGAGCTGAGGTCTTGGGAAGCCCCTCCCACTGTGGAATTTGTCACTGCACGGGGTTCCTTCTCACCAGAGTCAACTTTTAAAAAAAAAGATTCTGATCTTCGTTTATTTGTGATTAAAGCTCCACACTTCTCTACAGATGGATTTATTGCTGAGTTTTTGTCAGTTTGACTGCTTCCAGGTACAACAGGCACATAGTGGAAGTGAGTAGTTGTTTGGTTTTTAGTTTTGTTTTTTGAAGGTTAGGTTGAAGTTAAATGCAGTGTCTGAGTGATTTCATAAAAACCAACACAGCCACACACTTTTAACCAATCACAGTAAGTTCTGCTGTGCAGGGGGTGAACAGTTCTCCCAGCAGTTTGGGGAGAGATKGGGCGGCAGAGTCAAAGCTGCAAACAGATCGATGGGATTTTCTTCAAGCAAATGAAACAATGAGACAACTTCAGCTGCTTGGATGGAGTCTGCAGAGGTCTTTAGTGTGCTGTAGGATCAGATCATATCAGAGGGCTTGATTCCCAGCAGGTAGACCTGTCTCACCTTGAAGCATGTTCCTGTAGGCGTTGTCTGTGATGGAGTAGATGTGAGGGGGAACCTCGTGGCGTTTCTTGCCTTTGTACATCTCRATGATCTTCTCTGAGTAGATGGGCAGCATCTTGTAGGGGTTYACCACCACACAGAACAGACCTGAGTACGTCTGCAGAGACAGGAAGGCTCTGTTCAGAGACCAGGACAACCTGACACCTCCTAAAATACTCCATAAATCTACAGGAAGAAGCAGATCCTCGTGTCTCCATCAGCCTCTCTCTCTCTCTCTCTCAGGTCAAAGGTCACAGAGTGTTTTTATTTTCCCTCTCCTCGTCTTTCTGATCTTATAAGGTCTGCAGGTTTCCAGCTGCAGGAACGTTTACATTCAGCACCTTATTAGACAATCAGCTGCTGATTCTTCCAGGACCACCTCAGACTACATGGAACCTCCTGAATCCAGCTGGACCCAGACTCTGTGAAGACCTGATCTGTTTGACTCATCTTTATTTGATCAAAACAGTAAAAAAAAACATTTCAGTGAAACTCGTCTTAAACCTAAACCAGATTTTATTTTAGACCAACTTCATTAAAGTTGCTCTGTTGTWACAGTTTTCATGTTGGAGTTTTTCTGTAAATGTCTCAGTCTGACTGAGTTTCTGTGTGAAGCAGCTGAGCTCTTGGACAGAAGCAGGAAGTGAACTCACGTAGATCAGGCTGGAGAAGTATCTCTCCCGCAGGTTGTGAAGGACRGAGGCTTCGTTCAGGAAGGTGAGGGCGGCCATGTCCTCCACTTTACTGAACTTTGGTGGATTCATCTTCTGGATGTCGTCTTTGTTGATCGTCACCTTGTGACTGTTGGACAGCTCCACCACGACCTGCAGGAGGAGCAGTTTTCAGCTGGAGTCAGAGCTCTGACGTGGAAACATGCTAACACCATCAGTACCTGCTCTCCCTTCTCCTCCTTGATGCTGGCCGCCTCGAAGCCCTCCCGCTCCGATGGAACCCACACCATYTTCTTGGCGGCCCAGTCGGCCTGGGCCACGCCACTGTTGCGGAAGTCGTTTTCCAGGAAGAGGTACTTGCTGTCATCGGCGGGCATGTCGGCCATGTTGGAAGCGTCGGTGCGTTGGGTCTGCAGGCTGGAAGCTGTGGGAACGTCTGGAGGAAGTTGGGAGGTGTTTGAGACGATGTCAGGGTCTGTGATGTTAGACGTCTGAGACGATAGCCTGACCTCTGACCACAGCTGGACGTCTGGCCTGATGATGTCACACACATCAAAGAGAGTTAGTTCAAACACCAACAATCAGAGCCGTTAGCATGGAAGGTTTACAGCAAATATGTCCTCCTAAAGACAGACTGCAGCTTCCTGCCACAGCTACTACCAGGACTAACAAGGACCAGGACTAACAAGGACCAGGACTAACAAGGACCAGGACTAACAAGGACCAGGACTAATCAGGACCAGGACTAACCAGAAGAAGAAGAATTCAGGAAACCTAAGTCTAACTATAGGATTTCTGAAAAAGGAAAGTCTTCAGTCTAATCTTAAAAGTAGACAGAGTGTCAGCCTCATG